TTAATTATGAGGGTTGTATGGCGATGGTGATGGTGGCAGCTGTTCTTTGATGGTACTGATGATGAAGATGACGACGACAATGATGATGTTCAGCATGATGTCAAAGATGATCCGATTGTCGACTCGCGTCGCCGTCTAAAGCACCTGCGAACAAGGCCAACCAAAGCCTCAGCTGGGTAGGGGCACCACCACAGGCCCCACCCCACAGGCGGGGGCGGGGGGATACCATGGGGTGGGGGGGGGGAGGAGGGGTGTGGCAGCCCTGCATCATATACACCTTCAAAGGTGCCTTCATTGCAGTATCCCAAAACACCATCGAAAGGCCCGGAATACAACCCACTGGAAGCCCTGACATCCAAACCTGAGAACAGCCGAGATGAAAGATTTGTCTGCGGTTGTGGGCTCAGGGCTAAAGCTTGACGTCAAGTGCGGTATTTTGCCGAGGAGGCCCGAAACTCTGAACAGGCTGCTCTTTGCTGCAACTTATGGCAACAAAGTGGTGGGTTTTGAGAAGAGCTTGTGAGGAGGAGAATGGTTTCGATGGTGCCGCTACACGTGGGGCTGTTGGTGGTGGCGATGGTGCCAGGGTTTTTTATTGGAGAGCTGACGGCTGAGGACAAAAGCCGTTGGCGATGGTGGCGGCTATGGGGATGGAAGTGCTGTTGAGGAGACGCTTTTGTCGAAAAGGTTCATGGTAATTGATGCCGACGATGACTTGTCGAGTCGATGCTGCGCAGCCTTCTCCACTTCCTCAGAGTGGCCAGCCGTACAACTACAGTGACCCCAAACCCGGAATGCAACATTGTCTCAATCTACCCTGCCAACAAAAGAACAACGTGGCACCTCTGAGCCACGGTAGGCACTCTCCCGTAGCTCTGGTATGGGTTTGCCCTGCGCGTCTCGGTCGGAGACCTGAGATGCTTCACAAGCTTGAAAACTGATAAAGACAACACTACCAATAGCAACACTGACACGACGAAAACCATTATGATGGTGGTAGTATGACGATGATGATGTAGTATTATTAGTGCAGCAGTGCAGTAGTGCATCAGCTGAGTGAGTGCAGTGCGTGAGTCTCGCGAGTAGTCTGAGCGCTAAGCAATCTAAGTGACAATTTAGATAACCATCGTGTGGCACATGTCATGTGATGCTTCTGAGACTACACTAGCACTAAACTACTAGTGACAAAAACTCAACAAAAATGTGAAGAAAAACACAAAGAGACAGAATAAGCCTAAACCCGAAGCCGTAAACGGAGTAAGGTTCTTCCAGGCACATACTCCTCGCGGCTCAGCGTGCCATCCCTCGAGCGGGCGGCCCGTGGACTCCCAGCGATGACCGTAAGAAACTCCCGGTAGGCACCGAAGAGCCTGGACGGGGCGGCTATGAAATAGATGCTGGTAATATAAACAACGTGACTTAATGTAGTCTAACGTAATGTAATATACTCGAATACAATCTAGCATAACAGTAACATACAGCATACTATACTATCATACTAGAGTATATAGTCGACTAGACTGTGTGCATGCATACGTACATACAAACATCTGCATACATTTGGGTACGTACGACATTTACTTCCATGGTGATGCGCTCTTCATTTTCTTTGAACATCGCAGGTGCCACACACCAAAATGTCGGCGTAGAGCACTTCACTACAATCACCCGTTCTCTTGCTTGCCAGTGATTTGGGTCGTGAAGAGCTCAGGATACAGCGAAAAGCAAGGCTGTGCGTTGAAGACACTAGACACGACAGTGACACGACAAGACACCAGCACTGCTACTACTACTACTACTACAACTACTACAACTACTACTACTACTACTACTACTACTGCTACTACTACTACTCCTCCTCCTCCTACTCCTACTCCTGCTCCAACTCCTACTCCGACGACATGTGCTCTACTACGACGATTGCTACTGTGATTTTGATCATTGCTTTTTGGCTTCGTTGTTCGTTGTTGATCACTGCCTGATTCTTAATCCCAGAAGTGTGATTTTTTCGAATGACCATGACCTTCGTGATCTTCTGATCCCTCAGCCCCGCAGTGGTCTTTGTGATGGAGATGGAGGTGTACATTTTGTCGACGAGGTCGTACGCGCGAGGAAGTAATTCCTTGGCTAAGCCAGGGCCTTTTCATTGGTCATGCTAGTATGTGGATGTCATATCCCACAACTTGGGTGCACTTCTGCCCTTTTCTGGAGATCTATGCTGGCTGCGAGCGAGGTGTAGTGACGTATTGAAGCACAGGATGCTCTACGGAGTTCGTCGTTGTCCTGGGTGGGCGTCGGAAGAAGGCAGTGACCGGTGCGGCGGTGACAAAGGATGGCAGCCTATGCTCACATTGACTGAGCCATTCTAGGGGATGGGTTGTCTGACGAAACTTCAGGTTCAGGTGGGCTTTGGATTACTAACAAGCGAGTTAGATGGTCACCTTTGTCTGTGATTTGGGGGGTGATATGGTGCGTATGTCGCAACAGAGTGGGCATTGGCCACTTGGCACCGGTGTGTGTTGGGGCCCAGCTCGGTTACAATACAGGCAGGTTATTGGGGGTACACTTGCCCCTCAATGTGTGTTGTTGGTGGCGCAAGGACATCTGGAGACGTCTACAGTAGTGGCGCGGGGCCACGTTTGTTGTGCTCGCTTGTTGCTGTTGCACTGCGGAGATGAAAAGTGGGCCAAGTTTCTGTGGAAGGTCCAGTAGCCGCTGGGGCAAATTCAGTTTTGTATCTTTTGCAAAGGCGCCATTCGTCGGCTGTGTTTGGACGTGCACAGCTGTATGCCTTTCTCGACAAGCGCAGATCACCCTAATCCGCCAACGCGACATGAAGATGGCTTTATCGTCTTCAAAAGCTTTGTCTTGGCTGCAATGTGCATTCTCCTTACATCATTTCATCACCGAAAGCAACGCGCGATCAAAATTCACGCCGTTATGATCCGTTCTGGACATGTTTGTGACTGGGTCTACAGTACATCCCACTGCGATTGTGTTGCCGGGACAGCTCAGTGCCTGAGCAGCAGCTCATTGCGCGTGTGCCAGCTGGCTAGCTTAGTGCCCGTGAGAGTGGTCAACATGCCGATTATTTCTGGCCCGCCTTTCCGCTTTGCAAGATTTGTTTGGGCACCCATGGTGCCCTGTAGGGGGATCGTGACACGGAAAGTTGTGCGCGTGTGGGCTTGCTGTTTCCATGATTGATTACTTTTGAAGCCACATGTCTCGGTAAGCTATCAGCAGTTATGCTTGCTTGGCCTCTTTGGCACAGAAAGTTGTTTGCCAGCGACTAAGGCTCAGCCTCAGCAGAGACAGCAGCCGGCCAGTGACGACGGTTGTGGTGTCGCACGACACGTCCTTCCTGGACAAGGTGTGCACGCACGTCATCAACGTCAAGCAAAGGAAGCCGGAGCCTCGCATCGATGCAAAGTTTTGTGTCGCAGGTGTGCGCTGGAAGTATTCGGAGTGGGCGTTCGACTACATAGTATTCGAGATTCATCGGCATCATCACCGGCGCGCACACATGAACGATCATGTACGTGTCAGCGGGATCCTGAGGTTGAAGACATACAAGGGCAACATCACCGACTTCGTGCGACGCTGCCCCGAAGCCAAGCCACGCCCCTGAGTATCCAGCCCTTCCCAAGCCCGCCAGGGCTTGTGCATGCTTGAAAGCAATAGGGTGTGCATCTGTCTCCGACATAGCGGCAGACACACTTTGTAGGCATACATTGCCAGTCATTGCAGCAGCCAGTTGCCTTCATGTTGCCTTCTTGAGGTCGTACCTGAGCCTGACAAACGACAAGCAACGCTTCGTTCTGCCAGAGCCAGGAATGTTAGAGGCAGCGAGTTTTCCTTTAATGTGCGAAGCAGCTCCACGGACCTGGCTTGTACTGGCATCCTCTGCTCAGTGGCAGGGAGTGAAGTCCAAGGGCAAGAAGCTGCTGAAAATGCATAATGCGCTATACTCAATTCTGCTGTTCTGCTCTCGATCGGCTGTCATGCTGCTCTCTTCATAGTCTTTGGGAGATTCAGGTGACTTACACATATCCTGGCAACCAGACGCCTTTCTCTTAGTCGCCGCACGTCAGCCGGCGCTGCTTCTCGGCTCTGTCTGACGCCAAGGCCGACCCTCTTTAACGTCAGCATTGAGGTGTCTCTTCTAAGCGCGGGCCATTACAGAGACAGAGAGAGCGAGAGAGAGATAGAGAGAGGGTACAATTTGCCCCTCGACCGTAGCCCTGGCGAAAGAAAGAGAGGGTACAATTATGCTTGGAGATCAGCCGAAGGTCGCGTGGCTGTGATTGGGCCCAACGGCGCGGGGAAGTCCACCATGATCAAGGCGAGCTCGCGGGAGATCGCGGGCAGCAGACTGGCAGTGAAGCGCCTCTGACCAGGCCTTGGTCGGCGAGCTGCCAGTCGCGGGAAAGAGCATCGTATGGAAACATCCGAATGTTGGCTGCTGAGCATTAGCTTGCTTGGCAACTCGTGCCAGATCATGAGCTGAGAAAGGTGCGAATATCCTACGTTGCCCAGCATGCTTTCCATCACGTCGCGTGGCACCCAGCAAGCCTCAGCATGCCTCAGCAAACCAGCTTCAAGAAAAGTGCGGCCTTTGCGACGGGATCTCTCAGGAGCAGCATTTGGACATTACCCCAACACAGCTTGGGGCCTAGGTTTTCGTCGGAAGCACTGTCGGCACCGTCAAAAACCTGTGCAACAGAGAGTTTGCCCTTGGAAAGGTATTTGCTGTGGCGGTTTGCTGGTGGCGAAGATCGTGAAGCACTCAACTATCGATCGGAGGAGCGGCACACGATCACAGCTCCACGCCAGCCAACCCACGATGCACGATATCTCATTCACTTGTCAGGAAGTCAGTGGCGAGAAGAAGAAATACTGGCTGGGGCCCCTTCCCATTTTGCCAAGCATTGCCACGCGACCTGGATCTTTGTTGGTGTGGTGCACGTTGCCGCCCCGACCTGCGTCAGCCTCCTGACATCACTCGCGATGCTCAATACTCGTTCCATGCAAGGCTTCAGTTAAACGACAGCTAGAAGGATGCTTTTTATCCCAATGGAAGATCATGACATGCAGCGATCATTTCATTGCAGTTAAGCCGGGCGAGGCATCCTTCTAGGTTTGGGGACCGTTTCGGCAAAGCTTGCCAGAAGATGCCATGTGCTGATGATGGTAGACTTGGTAGGCCGCTCACACAAGAAAGGATCACTGCTTAAGGAAGGGCTTCCAGGACCTCCCCGAAGTGGGCATGTCTGCAGTTGTTAGGGTTCCTTAGGCTCAGGTCCGCTCGTAGGCTGGGAGCTCCCGAGGCTGAACGAAGCTGGCGTCCTCTGCAAGTGTACCAACGCCAAGGAGCAGTAGCCAGAAGCAGGGAATTCGAGGGACGACGGCGAAGTATGGGGAAGTGGCGAGGGAAGGGCGTAGCCGTCGCGGCCTTGTCAGGAGGAAGCCAAGGCCGTGAACCCGGAGTTGATCCTCGGAAGGAAGAAGCGGGCTCCTTATGCCTTAGGGCGCCTAAAAAAGACTCACGGATCCGGGCGGAAGCCAGCGACCTCCCCCAGGTCGAAGTCGAAGGCGAACTCAGGCGACGAGAAATACGAGTACTCTGCCATCGCCTTGGAGAAGCATCTATCGGCGTATCGTTTCAAACGGTCAAACGCCGTCCCCATTTAGTGATGTGCCCGAGGTCAAGTGGCACGGCTTCAGTTCCGAAAGCAACATGTGGGCGCGACCCCCGCAGTGCGGCGGAAAACCATGCAAAGCTCTAATTGCCTATTTCCAGGTCCCTCGCGAGATCTTGCTGGAGATGGGCCACTTGCGTCTCATCCAGCGCGAGGTGCGGTCCTGAAGCTGCATCAGAGGGTTCCAAGACATGTTACAACCCTTGGGTCAGCCCAGACGTGCGGCCAGGATGAGAGGCAGGCAGCTGCACACGGCCTCGTCTCACGGCCCCTGACGCAACCGCAGGTGCGCTGTCTCAGCAGGGCGAAGTGTATTGATCTTGGGGGGCTTGAAAGGTGGAGGAGCATCTAGCCGGCTTCGGCCTGGACTCGAACCTGGCATCCCACACAAGGCCAGAGGCGGCCAGGTCGCCAAGCATCTCCCGGATCTCTCGCCAGGCTGGGGATCTTGTCTGGCGGTCAAAAGGTGAAGGTCGTTCTTGGAGCAGCCATGTGGTCCCCTGGCCCAAGCTAAGACCTCGTACGCACGTGTGCCCTGGCCGAGCCAAGGCTATCCCCACACATACTGATCCTCGACGAGCCCGAGCCCAACAGGGCTCTGACGCGCAGGCGCGCCTCCGCCGAGAGAGCGGTTCTGAGGCCGACGAACTATCTTGACCGTGATTCCCTTGGAGCCCTTGCCGCAGGCCGCCTCGAAGTCTTAACAGCACCGCTTAGACCCCCTAGATCCTGAGAACAGGCCTCAAGGAGTTTGGGGGTGGCGTGGCGGCCCTAACGTGAGACGTTTGTCTTGCGCCACGTGATGTCCGCCGTGTCGGCAATTGCTTGCCGTCAAGCCCATGATTCATGCCAAGCTCCAGGTCATCGTCATCTCTCACAATCGAGAGTGAGACCCTCAACTTCCAAGATTTGTTTAAGCATGGCGTCAAGATTTGTTGGTGGTGCGACTCGTCGAGCACCGTGCCAGATTCTGCTACGCAGTTTGTGACGAGAGATGGCTCATGGATGCCGTGAGCTTGACGTTTCCATTGCCCGGCTCAGCCGGATTCGCCACACATGGCTTGATCACGTGGTCTCACTGTTTCACAACGCGGAAAGGCCGGGCGACTCACTAGAGAAGGACAGCTCAGCAAAGCGGACGTGGCGTGCACTTCTGAGTGGTCCAGAAGATCTTTTCTGCGCCATCGTAAGTGAGCTGGTGGGATGCAACTTGTCGTACTGTAGGTTGGAAGGAAAAACCATAGCGGACGAGCATCTTGTTGGCATCTGATGGAAGCTTAGCTTAACCGCTATTGTCCCAACATGATTCTGTTGAGGTACACAGACGAGTTCGGCAATGTTCACAAGATCAAGAAGCAGAACCACACCGAGAAGGAGAGACTGATGTGATCTGAAAGAGACTGGTTTTATGACCCTCTGCTCTTGAAATGACTGCACTGGAATAAACTAGAAGACACGTGGCCCGAAAGCATCATTGGCGAAGAGTTTAGCGCTCTGACTTTATATTGCATAATACATCACTCTGTGTTTGTCACCCGCACTCGACTCTATTTACTATACCTTACACGTACTTGACTCTATGTTTATCGTGACTCTGTGTTTATCACCTATTATCATCTATGTACTTAGGGTTTAGGGTTTAGGGTACTCGATGTACTTGACTCTATGGACTCTACGTGTATCTCCACTCTATGCTTATCGTCACTTCACTCTGTGTTTGTCACCCGCATTCGACTCTATTTATT